TATATATATAGTTGCGAGCATTACATTGTTGCCAAACTGTGAAACGCCATAATGGGATGGTTGTTCTACAAGTCTCTGTGGTATGTTAGTATGTATTATCCTTCTCAAATCCGAGTTCTAAGAAAATTCGTTTGCTTTGCTTTTTGTGCTTTTCCGTTTGTTGTTATTGTAATGGTGGTGATGGTTGTTTTATTTTGTACATGTACACGAGTAAGTCAGTCAGTTAGTAAGTCATTATAGTAAGCTGTCAGTCAGTCAGTCAGTCAGTCAGTCAGTCAGTCAGTCAGTCTCTATAATATATGATATGTAATACATATCTATTTCGGTTACTCCTTGTTAACTAAGAACGAGAGATCCCTTTTATATTGACTCTGTGCTCTTTTGTTTCTATTTATTTGATCGTCTGGGTCAGTTGAGTATTTGCTGCCTCTTTTAGCAGTTGCCAGATGTCTTGTAAGAACGGTGTTCAGTGACATGACACTGCGACAACCAGTGGATTGCTGGGCAAGAACTCGTTTTCTGAATAACCGGACTTTATCTGAACCTAAAAAAATATCCAAGCGGTTTTAACTGGTTTGCAATCAGGCCTGGGAAAAAAAAGAGTAACCAAAGGTCAGAAGAGTAAAACGAGGCCTTTAACTTCTTCACTGCCTCGCACTGGAGTCGATACGGATTTTAGAGACATTAAAAAGAAAGTTTGGCAAGTAAGAGGGGGAGGGGGTGTAATTGAGCACCTGCTCATTAACCGGTTACGATTTATCTGTACCTTGAACCAGTGTTATCCGGATGTAGGACTCGGTTTCTGAACAGCATACTCAAGCTGAGTAATTTCCTTGCTGGTTTCACTTTCATATCACACTTTATTGGCCGGTCCGGGATAAACTTGAGAAAATTTTCCTTGTAAAATCAATTTCTGACTGATCTACCAGCTGTGTGGCTCTGTAACTGGTCAAGGGAACATCGTGTTGTTGTCGAAAGGTTTTTCTTTCTTATTCTTTTGACAAGTTAGCCAATCCTGTCCCACGTTTCTTTTCAGTTGATTTCGAAGTAAGGAGAGTCGGAAACTGGATTAGGACGTCCGTAGCTGGCACCGTTCATTCTTTTCATTGCCTACATCTTTGCGCAGAATTTGGTGAGTAACGAATTTGTTTCGGGA